TTGGTACATGATTAATAAGACATTAAACTTTTGATCTATAATGAAAAACAAATTTGGATTTTTAGGCAATTTTTTGAGCTCCCATATTTGATAGCTCATTTACTCAATACTGGCCTGTGCGACAACTTAATCATTTTGCTACGACATGCCTCATTTTACAATTTATTAATTTGCACCATTTTTCATTTTCAAATGGCAGATTTTTCTGCATATTTTATTTATTTACTTAATTCAGATTTTCTTTAATTTAAAAAAAAATTAAAGCAGTGGGAAATACATGCCAAAAAACCATAACCTGTTGGTTAGAAAATAAATATTCCTCAATCAATCAATCTCAATAAATTTATTCGTCATATATGATGACAAATTTATTCATTTGTTTATATATTTATTTAATTTATTTATTTAATTATTTTTTTTAATTATTTATTTAATTAATTATTTTATTTCATTTTATTTAATATTTATTTAGTTATTTATATTTTATTTTTTAAATTTTTTTTTTTTGGCAGATGGATTAAATTTATTCGGAATGAGCATCAAGGAAAATCCACAAAAGTCTGAAGACTTAAGTACTTCTAGTGGGGTCCCTCTGTTGGTGTAGTGGGAAGTGAACACTGAGAGACAATCCCCTACTCTTTTCCACAGTGTGCTTCATTTTTTTTAACATGCACACTGGCCATTATTGCACACCTGACCAAAGGTTTAAGTGTAATTTTTTTTTCCCTCATTAAAAAATAAAAATTGAAAAACACACTTACCAGTTAGGATAGATATGAGTATAGCCACATTTGCTTGCTATCATCAAGTAGTCTGGTCCATTATCTTTACTACAAAAATATAAAAATATAATGTAATATGATCCTGGTTTGAAAATTAACAAGGTAAATTAGGATGGTGACCCACATGGAATGCAGTGCATTAGTGGGCACAGTGCTAGGACAGGGGAACAGTATAGCAGCAGGCACGGAGGAAGAGTGCAGCAGCGAGAACAGGGGAACAGCGTAGAGGCGGGCATGGGGAAACAGTGCAGCGGCGGGCACGGGGGAAAGTGCAGCGGCAAGCGCAGAGAAATAGTGCAGCAACAGGCGCGGGAGAACGGTGCAGTGACAGGCACGTGGGAACAGTGCAATGATGGGGAACATAAACTTACCTTACAAAATAATGAATGAAATTAAGAAATATAATTTCACATAAACCTAATATGGAGCATATGAAGTTTGGCATATTGTGGTCCTAAGGACAAAAAATTTGTGACATGCCTAAATATGGTCATGATGACATCACATCATGACCATATATAGGCATATCATGACCATATATAGGCACAACATGACTATATATGGCTTTAGATTGTTTTAAGCTCGGCACTCACTGCGTCAGACGACAGTCATTCCCTGTGAGCGCTAGACGACGAGACACAGTTTGCTGATTGTCGGTCTGAACAGATCATCATTAAAAATGATCCATTGTGCGCGCATCGTAGCATTGCGTTCTTCATAGAATCACGTTAGTCAATGCAGTATTAAGTGCAGACACTTACTCAAATAATGCGGCAATTCCATTTTTCGTTTCAAACTCATGAACTGCCCACATGTCAAACCAAAGGCAGGACACAATCGTCTCCTCACCTACAAAGAAAACAAAATAATGATCATTCTTTTTATAATGAAAATAATATTTTATAAAGAACACCCTTTTTCCCACCTTTTTTTTTTCCACTTTTTAAATCTCCAGTTACCAAGTTATTTCTTCAAACTCTCCTTTTTATTGAAACACCTGATAACTGTAATCATGTTGACTACTTTGACAGAGGCCCTAAGTCTACAAATAGAAAATGTGTAGTGCAGGTTCTACCTTTAATAGGGTTGTTCATAATCTTGATTTATATTTCTACTGAAGCTTTGGTTTATTCCCATCTTTAGGCCCTATACATTAGTTTCTTAAAACATATCTTTAAATTTCTGTATGTTCTTACCACACTGATTTAAAAGTGTATGGTACTAACCACTGCCAAGATTTTTTTGTAAAACATATCAATTTTTCCCATTTTAATGCTTAAGTATATTTTAGAAGTGTAGTGTAAGTGTTTGCCGTAAAGATATCATTTATTTCCAGCAGAAACAGAATTTCCATATATCTATCTCAAATTACACCACTGTGCATTTAGAACTGGCGATTCAATTATAGTGAGTCACACCACACATCTAAATGTTTGACTTGGAATAACAGTCCAGACACTTATTTATTAGTACCGTTGTCGTACGTAGTATGTAAATAGTACATCAAAACAACTGACTACTAAGAAACAGCTAAGGAATGTAGATGCAGACCTTGTGTATGCCAACATTAGCATGTGCTAGCGAGACAGCTGCTCTGGTGAAAAATAATGGTCATTATATTTTCCTCAATCTGAAATACGGCTGATATTCACATCGGGAGATGGAGACTTTGATGATCTATGTTGTTACCGCTTTTCAGACAGGTAAGTTTTGAATCACATATGTTTATTGAGGACCATTTTTTTTGCATTGTGATCTTAGGCTTTGAAATTTATACCATAACTATAATATAGATAATTGAGGGTTGCCATTCCAAAACTAACATACTATTGCTAATTTTTAAACTGAGTAATTAGCAAAAGAATGTAGCATTATTGTATACTTAAGTACAGAAAAACCAAAACACATTGTAACTTTGGCAATAGTAAGAATAAGAATATATTAAAAACTCAATTTCAATTTTTTGGTCACTGATGCTGAATTTGGGATGACAAGCCTTCAATTTATTACTTCAGTGGGCCATCAAGGTTCATTATCACCTAACATACAACATAATGCAATACAATAAATTATTTACAAAAAAGCAAGGTATGTTTTGTCTGTGTAAGGTGTGTTAATGCTGACCTACACATTGAGTACCTGACTTATATATTGCTTACTGTATTCATATTGAGTTAAAACATTATAGAATATTGCTTATTTTGCTTACAGTTGACGAATTGATATGTCATGCCAACATCCGAGCTTCTCATTACTTGATATTCCTTCATAAGCTGCTCCAGTACATCTTTTATTGTGCTTGAGCTTGTCAGCCCTTCACACAGTTCCCTGCAAAATCAACAACATAATGAGATATCTTAATATAGAACTGTTTAAATATTGAATTTTTGGAGACATTAACAAAAACAAGGCTCCTAAAAAGACGGTGTTAACAGCTTCACATAGTTTGTTTGTAGCTACTTTTCTTTTCCACACTTTCTGTGTTGGCAATTCACTTGAATAAATAGCAACAGATTGTTGACTATTTTGTTCTTTCCAGGACAGGTCTAAACTAGGCATGGGCATCATACTTCTTGGGGCTTCTGTTCAAAGACTGTTTACTTTTATATTTAGCTATAAATTACTCATCCCATCATTCCTCCAACAGGATATACTCTTACAACTTACAAATGTGATGATAGCAGTGCTGGTACCAAGGACTCCCTGCTGACGTTCCCTAGAGGCCACTGACTAAACATATTAATTTGCAGATCCAACTAAAATTATTAGATTTAAGATCTTAGTATTGAGGTCTAAAGCACAATTTTTACCATCCAACCCTCCTAAGGAGGACCCTGACCAGAGGCTTTGTTCATACTCTTGCCAGGGCTGTTTGGCCCCTTTGAGGATGTCCTTTTAAACTTACCAGTTTGGAAAGAGGGCTGTCCCCATTCTTTCACCTTTTTTGGCCAATGTAATGTAAGCTGAAAAAGAAAACCATAAATGAATAATGATATTTTCACTAGAAAAATATTATTACTCTTTATGTTATATTTTCATTGATTGATTTAACCAATGATACTAGAAACTCAAGATAGAAATCTCGCATAGCAATATGAAGCGGATATACGTCATATATTTTACGCAAATCAGGTCGTACAAAGGTCCCCTACAGGGCGCCCTTCTGTGCCAAGTAAATCCTGGCGTACGTGGCGCACTTCTTTTTCCGCGAATGATATTAACATTATCAGTATTCAGAGTCCGGTCATACGATTCTGTGCTGTAATTTTATTCTTTTGATTTATTCATGCCTACTTGTTTGTATCTTATGGATGGCAACGATTTCCCAGTAAAACGTTCTTATAATGTTCGCAAACGTTGTGGTTAGGTATGTCACAAAATAACGTTCACACAACGTTGTAAGAACGTTCAAACGCTGTAAAGTGAAATTACGTACATATGGTTCTACAAATTAACGTTTTTATCACCAAACTGTAACATTATTATATTAACGTTCTTGTAACGTAATTTTGTTAGCTGCGTTCTACCTCCACCAAACGAGCCACCAAAGAGGTTATGTATTCACTGTGACGTAAGTTTGGCATAAGTTTTTTAAATCCAGCCGTATGCTATGCACCATTGTTTGTATTCTCACCATGCATTTCGGTGATACAGTTTTTTTCTGTAGAGAACTCTATCTTGTGTTTCTAGTATCTTTGATTCAACCATAAAAAGCAGAAATTAACAGAAGCACACAAGACAAAGTATAGGGACAGCAAAACCCTTAAATTATTATTGTTACTTTGTTATTATTATTGCTATTTTGTTATTGCCATTTTTGTTTATTACAGTAAATAAATCAATTTAGTTCTGATAAGTCGCAGATAACTACAAAAAAAAAAAATCAAAACTTCCTCCTGTACAAAATAATTAAGATAAAAAGTACTTCTAAATGATCCCATTGACTTATTTTCAGCTAAACTTTTCAGTTCAAAGCTTAACTTTGAGTCCTTTAAATATGGCGTATAAGACTATATTGACTCTGCGAATAAAGACGCATACAACAGACTGAAAAGATTAAAATGGCGGCCAAGGTTAAGCTTAGGTTTATGGGCAACCAGGCACATTCAAATTTAATTCAGAGGCGCTAGATCTGGTTGATCTGGAATATTTGATCTGGTGCTCTACTAGTTGGTAAGAGGATTAGCCCATTCTTCTTAAAGAGAACAGTTGGGGGGGGGGGGTCACAGGAAGATAAAAGGAAAATTATTTATTTACAATTGATCAACAGTAGGAAATAAAAGAAAACTACTTCAATCCCCCAATCATACACACCGCAAATTGTTTTGTTTAAATAATATATTTCAACAATAAATCATATATTCAACCAGAAAACAAACAAGGAACTGGTGAATGCTCCATAAATTCCCACACCAACACCTACACATATAACCTGCCTACAATAGTACACCTTGAATGAATGAAATCCAACAATATAAGACCACACACAATTTATGCTCATCCAAATATTTTCACAATAAAACTCTACCAGTGGAGTAGTGACTATGCTCATCCAAACATTTTCACAATAAAACTCTACCAGTGGAGTAGTGACATGGAGATGATAGGGTATGGGAAACAGGAAAGTAGTTGTGGAGATAGATGTTAATTTATTTATTTATCGAGTATAACTTTCGTTATACTGGAAGGCACGCTGAATGCAAAGGCATTGGTTTTCCTTGTGGTCCAGTAACATAACATAAAATACAAAAATTGAAAAATTGAAAAGAAAAATTTAGGAAAATTAAACAAAGGACAAAAATAGATGACTTAATTACAAAAATAGAGGAGAGACCAATTTATTCAGGGCATTTTTAAATGTGTATTGGTTAAAATTCTGGAAATCCCTAGTTATATTGCTAGGTAGTTGGTTCCACTTCATGGATGCACAGTAATGAAAAGTTTGTTTTCCTTGACATATGTTCCATTGTGGAACTACAAAATGATTATTTTATCTGGCTTCTAATTTTTTTATCATTTTCAAGGAAAACAAACATATTAATTAGGTAGGAGGAAGCAAGTACTTGAAGGCATTTAAAAGTTAAACATAATAATTGGTCTCTCCATCTACTTTTCAGAGTTTGCCAGTTCAACAAAATTAAAACATCATTAATTGGTGTTCTAATATCACATGAAAGTAATATTCTTCCTAAGGTGTTTAACAGAACTTGTAAGCTGTTAGATAATGAGGTGAATTTTCACTGTAAACCTTTTAGTTCAAGGTTTTCAGTGGGAGAGGGGGTGCCTGAGGTGATGCAAATTACTCTGGCAGGCTCCCTCATTTCAAACTTTCATATGCAAATGGAACCTTGTAGTCTACAATCACATTGTACCTATTGAAACGTTGATATAAAGCTGGGTACAATCAGATATATATCTGTCAAACTTAACATTCAATCTCTGATGATATTTTGGTAGCATGATGTCATCAAGTCTGATGAAACATTGATCGGTAACACTTAATGGCATAAACCAGGCTTATAGTAAATGTTATTACATGGTGGTATTTATTCGCAAATAAAATTGTACAATTCAGATGACCAGCAAATAACTGAAAATTCTGTAAGTACCGATAAAATATAAGCAACGTCTTGTTATTATACATCACAATGATACTGACTTGTGCATACACCACATAGATACTGACTTACTGTCCTACTTCTTATTGCAGTACATCACATTGACTTATTATCGTACACCACATCGATATTGATTTCTCATCATACATCACATAAATATTGACTATCATACATTAAATTGATATTGAATTCTTATACAGTACATCACATCGATATTGACTTTATTATATTATCATACATCACACTGATATAGACTTATTATTGTACATCACATTGATATTGACTTATTATCGTACATCACATCGATATTGACTTACGCACTAAAGAACTCAAGTCATCTGTTAAATCTACATTCCCTTCAATCCCTCGCTCTATTTTAATTTCTTGAAAAAAAAATATATTCATCACATAACATGCATGATTGAAATAGTGAGAGTAAACCAACTTGTGAATAATGAAGTGAGAAGAAACAAAATCATGATTTAAAAAAGATGGTAGCAATGTTATTTACATTTTGAATGCCAAAATTAGATACACCACTAAAGGCCAGTAGGAAGAATTTTCGATGGGGAGGTGCGTTTTGCGAACGAAGCGAGAACTAAAAAACTTTTTTTTTTTGTCCTTTACATCTGTAGGCCTACAGATACCATTTAATTTTTCACAATGGATGTAGCTGATAATTTCAAACAAATTTTTGTACCACAGTTATTCAAAATCAACAGAGCTGGCAAATAAAATGCAATGCATACTTTAGCATTTTTCATGATAGGAGGTGAAATAATAAGCTTCAAAAAGTGAACTTTTTGAAATGTGAGGGTCCAGAGGCAGGGGCCTGGAGGGAATTTGGGCATATAAATAAAATTCCTTATAGAGATCATTCTGTAATCCCTGGAGCTGATCAAGTTCAAACAAATTTCATACCATAGTTATTGAAAATCAATTTTGTGAAATAATAGGTTTAAAAAGCTTTTGGAATTCGGGGTCTGCCTGAACTACACTACAAGGAGGTAAAATAACCTTGTAAAAAAAATATCTGATGGTATATGCCAGGCTCAATACAAGCTGCCATTTTATAAGCAAATCTGGTTACAAAATATTACACTTTAAACACTAACTTACGAAGAGAACTCATGTCATTGTCTGAAGGTACAAGCTCTTCCTCCTCATCATCTTGTGTAACTTTTTGAAAGATATTAATGCATCACACAAAATGTATAAAAAATGTTATCAATAGTGCAAATCAAATAGGTTAAAAAATGAGATTAGATGAAATGAACTATAAATGTTTGCCAGTTCAACAAAATTAAAACATCATTAATTGGTGTTCTAATATCACATGAAAGTAATATTCTTCCTAAGGTGTTTAACAGAACTTGTAAGTTGTTAGATAATGAGGTGAATTTTCACTGTAAACCTTTTAGTTCAAGGTTTTCAGTGGGAGAGGGGGTGCTTGAGGTGATGCAAATTACTCTGGCAGGCTCCCTCATTTTAAACTTTCATATGCAAATGGAACCTTGTAGTCTACAATCACATTGTACCTATTAAAATGTTGATATAAAGCTGGGTACAATCAGATATTTATCTGTCAAACTTAACATTCAATCTCTGATGATATTTTGGTAGCATGATGTCATCAAGTCTGATGAAACATTGATCAGTAACACTTAATGGCATAAACCAGGCTTATAGTAAATGTTATTACATAGTGGTATTTTTTCGCAAATAAAATTGTACAATTCAGATGACCAGCAAATAACTGAAAATTCTGTAAGTACCGATAAAATATAAGCAACGTCTTGTTATCATACACCACATAGATACTGACTTACTGCCCCACTTCTTATTGCAGTACATCACATTCATATTGACTTACTATCGTACACCACATCGATATTGATTTCTCATCATACATCACATAAATATTGACTATCATACATTAAATTGATATTGAATTCTTATACAGTACATCACATCGATATTGACTTTATTATATTATCATACATCACACTGATATAGACTTATTATTGTACATCACATTGATATTGACTTATTATCGTACATCACATCGATACTCTCCTGTCTCTTATACACATCTAGATGTGTATCATACATCACACTGATATAGACTTATTATTGTACATCACATTGATATTGACTTATTATCGTACATCACATCGATATTGACTTACGCACTAAAGAACTCAAGTCATCTGTTGAATCTACATTCCCTTCAATCCCTTGCTCTATTTTAATTTCTTGAAAAAAAAATATATTCATCACATAACACGCATGATTGAAATAGTGAGAGCAAACCAACTTGTGAATAATGAAGTAAGAAGAAACAAAATCATGATTTAAAAAAGATGGTAGCAATGTTATTTACATTTTGAATGCCAAAATTAGATACACCACTATAGGCTAGTAGGAAGAATTTTTCGATGGGGAGGTGCGTTTTGCGAACGAAGCGAGGACTAAAGACTTTTTTTTTGTCCTTTACATCTGTAGGCCTACAGATACCATTTAATTGTTCACAATGGATGTAGCTGATAATTTCCAACAAATTTTTGTACCACAGAGCTGGCAAATAAAATGCAATGCATACTTTAGCATTTTTCATGATAGGAAATGAAATGTGAGGGTCCAGAGGCAGGGGCCTGGAGGGGGTTCGGGCATATAAATAAAATTCCTTATAGAGATCATTCTGTAATCACTGGAGCTGATCAAGTTCAAACTAATTTCATACCATAGTTATTGAAAATCAAAACGGTCAGCCTATAAGAGGTGGCAAATATAAAATGCAATGCACACTATAACATTTTGCAATAATTAGGAACAATTTTGTGAAATAATAGGTTTAAAAAGCTTTGGAATTTGGGGTCTGCCTGCACTACACTGCAAGGAGGTTACAGAACCTTCAGAAGCAATCTTGATATAATTAACGATAATATTGATAAGTGCTACAGTATATAACCCAGTTGCCTTGTTCATTCTTTTTTTACATAATTTTAATATATAACATACCAGTAATTTTTGCTTTATAATGTATAACATGACACAGCTAAAATATACACACAAACATGTATGGTACATTATAAATGTTTATGAGTGCAATAGGAAGAATATATTTTTATTAGTTGGAAGACTGACTGTTCAGTTCAACAAGGCAGAGCCTTTTTGAATGGAAGTCAAGCTTTCAGCTCAGAAAAATAGTCGTTCTATTGCACTCATAAAAAACATTCATTATTTAGATAATAGATTCTTGTCATTTGATATTTTACAAAAAAAAAATCTATCTTTTTTCTGAATGGAACAGTCCAGCATCGTTTTAACCAATGAAAAGATTTTATTTGGTTGAGGTGTGCAACGAAGTGAAACGGATGGGGGAAAAAAATGCACCGGATGGAACTAAAAATACACAGTGGAACTAACTTTCCATGATGAATGACGAAATAATGTAAATAACCAATGTCACGTGACACGAAATCCACCATTCAAATGACAAAGATCTATTAAGGTGTGTTATAAAAAAAAACATTCTACTTTCCACAGCTATGAAAAATGTAATGTTAGACTTTTGTTTCTGAACACAGACACAAAGTAAGCATTCCCTTTACCCATAAGAAGGCCCAGCCCTTGGGAATGTTCCTCTTTTATCTTAGCCACTTGGTTTCATGTACTAGTGCACCTGACATTAAACAACTCCGCTCCCCCGCCCCCCAAACCCAAATGTATAATTTAGAGCAACAATTGACAACTATCCTGCCAACAATAGCATTGGTTGGGGGGAAATTTCCCCTTCCAGAGAAGTACGGTCCCCGTCTTGTCGGAAAATTTCTGCAGCTACCACTGATTAGTATAAATTGCATAAACTATGAATTCACAGAAGCTATAAAAACAAAGCAATGCAAAAGTTACAGACATATACAACTGTTTGCAAATAGCTTGAATGGAACTTTAAGACTATGAATCACACGTAGTTGATGATTTCAACCAAGGAATAACAACAGTGCAGACTCACTTCCGAGAGCGACAAGAATTAGAACACATTATTTAAACAGCAACCAACAAGCGCATGTCTAACAAACACGCAAGTTTACGTACGTTTACTCCCTTTAAGGTCCTACACCTTAGAAACAATATCCAAGAGGAGGGACTTAATAATAGGTCCATGATTAGTGGACAATGTTAATGTATAGCTGGTAACACACCATCATGATTTTTATCTATGAGACTGAGCAGTCGACATGAGCTTTAGCTTAACAAACATGGTGTACTTGATCAGATATTTAGCATAACAGACAAAAATTGATCAAACCAGTGGTGTGTCAAAAGGGCCCCCTCAAACAAGCTGGACCATATTGCCAATTCGATGTGGTTGGACTAAAACATTAATTTCGGAAATCTCTTCCCATGAACTTCAATCAGGGATTTATTTTTGGACTGTGTGACCAAGACTCTAAGCAGCCCCTTGGTTTAGGGACAACCCTTGGTTTGGGGAGGCCCTTGGTTGAGACCCATACGTTAAGGTTTGTTGGTTCCCTTTCGGCAATTTCTAGCCACCACTGGATCTAATATTGTCTATTGAGTAAAGCCAGATTTATACAAGCTGCATAATTTTACATTATAAGCATCGTTAGCCAACACAACATTGATATTGACTTACGGAGAGAACTTATGTCATCAGTAAAAGAATCGTACTCTTCATTCTCTATTTCAACTTCTTATAAAAAAAAAATGCATCACATAAAATGAATTTATTTTCTAATAGTGAAAACTAAATAATTATATCAAACTTGTAAATAATGTGAGATATTACTCAATTTGTCAAACGTAAACACAATCTCAAATGAGTTTTGTAAGACCACATTCCAACAGTACATCTCCAATTACATATACTTCTTTTAGTCTACTTTTTTTATATTTATGTTGTACCATAAACTTGCCACAATTCTCTTATTTTTTATTATTTTTCTCATTCTGGACAGCGCCAATGAGAAAGTTAATTTAGAGACGGAATAAGCATAATCCAAAAGAAAAGAAATCGAGTGTGGGACACCAATTAAATTAGGTATGGCGCACACAAAATGCAATAGAGGGTAACCCAAAATTAGGGCCTGGTTTGTAGCACTATCATATACAGGTTTCCCTCCATTTAAGGACCACTTTTGGGACTGGTGTTTCCATGGTTTTTAGCAGCTTTGGTCCCTAATTAGAATAAAGACAAAAGACAGTTGTTCATTTGGGGGCCACAGAAAAGTGGTCTTTAATTGGAGGTGGGCTTTAATTGGAGGGTCTTTAATTAGAGGAAGTCCTGTATACACATTTATAGCACATACAGTAAAAGTATACCAAACTAATTTCCATTACTGTATTAGCTTTTAAATGTTGATACAAGATACAAGATCGATTAATCGATTATCATGAACTACCCCCTCAACAATAAACGCCCTGGGGCGTTTATTTGAATACTCAATACAATAATTCCAAAATGTAAAATAAGAGGTTATTTTAGAAACAACTTAAGAAACAACACTGAAACAACTTAGGAATACCTGACCACCAAAACCCCCATCCCCATAACAAACAATGCCCCACACATATACCTGTAACCTGCATACACATTGCAGTTAGCAACAAAAAGCGAGAGCCTCAAACAATATATACAGAGTTGTGTACAACAAAGATTATCTTTATACTATTATATTTTTATGCTACTTGATTAGTTAAAAAAATCTAAACATGGTTGATGTTACGGGTGTCGGGTTTACGTCTTTCTTACTTGGCTTGGTGCCTAGTCCAAAAGCAGTAGACGCAAAGCAAGGCCATGGCAGAAGATGCTGTTACATCATACATACCTCCGCAAATATAAAAAAGGTGCCAATCATCGGCAGGAGGATTCTCTCCTAGAGCCTCATTTCACTGAGGTTCCCGACAGTAAAATAAGTAGGCATGTTCAAGGAGTCGCTTAGAAATTCTCAGAAGGTCCAGGGGACAAAGCCCCTGGGGACAAAGCCCCTGGAAGCTAGGACAAATTATTAAGGAACTTATATCCTTATTAAATCGATTTTAGAGTCTTACAAACTTTAAAGAATACATATAATTTCCAACCCCTCAACAAATGATTTTTTTTTTTTCTTTCTGACAATCTTTGGGGCCCTGGCTAGGTATTTGTATCCTTGGCACATGTACTTTAAAATTAATGATATAACATTACTATATAATGTACATTACATTACAACTTTCAACTGCTTGAGTTACAATTATAGCAGATGTAATGTTATAAAAACATGGCAAGCCAAAATGTTACACACATCCCCAATGAGCAAAAAAGAACCCTGTAGTTTGCATCTTGTCTAAACTATGAGCAGACAATGGTGTACTGTACAACATAGGCATACACAATGTTTGATTAGACATTGTCTGATACTTGAAAAAGCTGACTGTACTATCAAGTTTCATGTGACAAATACTGTACAGTTTGGAATCAGATTTCTCAAATTTCAAGAGCACCTATTGGCAGTGGCATATCTAGGGGTGCGCAGAAGATGCTCGCCCTCCCACCCCTCCCAAAAAAAATACTTGTGCCCTCCACCAGTAGCCCCACAAAAAATCACATTCAAGTAGTTAAAATTCACCTTAAATCACCCTATTTTGTGAGGTAGTGCCCCCCTCACCTAATCATTCATTCTCCCACTTCATCTTCACGACCACATCTGCCCCCACCCAATTTTAAGACTCAATAGATACGCCACTGCCTATTGACAAATACAATTAGGAAAAAGGCACCCTCTATTGGTGTCGCCATAGTTGCTGAGTACCTCCTTGGGGTCCCTACGCGCATAGAGTATCATGTTCATGTATGGTGGGGTGCAGTACTTCGGGTAGATTACCGTCAATGCTGGAATAAGTGCCGCCCCAAACTTCATTTCTTATGATAATTACTCATTTGAATATTTAGTGACAGTACGCTGGTTTTGGGATAGCAAGCCTCATATGAGTAAATCATATTTCTCAAATAATTAAAACTTGATAAGTGTGGATACAGACAGAAAATCTAATCTAATCAAACATTGTTGAGTAAAAAAAGTATCTGATGGTATATGCCAGGCTCAATACAAGCTGCATTTTATAAGCAAATCTGGTTACAAAATTTTACACTTTAAACACTGACTTACGAAAAGAACTCATGTCATTGTCTGAAGGTACAAGCTCTTCCTCCTCATCCTCTTGTGTAACTTTTTGAAAAATATTAATGCATCACACAAAATGTATAAAAAATGTTATCAATAGTGCAAATCAAAAATGAGATTAGATGAAATTAACTATAAATAAATATGTGAGAAAATATGTTAAAAAATTTCCTGTTGTCAAAATCTGTCAAACATGGAACCATTTTCAGGTACAAGGTATACCACTACTGACTAACAAGAAATAAAAGAACCTTAAAAAACAATAACAGTACTGATTTTGTATATGGTAAATATAGGAATAAAAAGTCCTCCGAAAAAGTTCAGATAAGAATCGTTCGCACGGTAGCTCATGCTAATCAAAAACACGCATTATGCATTTATATAATGTACGGCGCATATATGGGACAATAGTCCTAAAGGTTAACTTCTCTTGACGATAATTTAAAGTATTGTATAAACAGTCTGGTTTATTAGGAAATATGTAGTCTCTGGGCTAGTAGAAGCAGTACGGCAGCAGTCCGCAACCCATAACCTTAACACTTGCACTACTTCATAAACCAAGTCTTCTCAGATGAAGAATACAAAGCAGGAGGCCTAGGTGTATACACGACTTGCATGCACTTTGAAGAACCCTGTCATCTATACACTTCAGCCCCTGAGTGTCTTTTTCGCAGCAAATCATATTGACCATACCTGTACACAATTCAGCACAGTGAAGCTGATTGCCTACTGTACCTTCGGTTACATTTACCTTTGATTATTATTATAATGGCTGAGACTAGAATAGTGCAATAGATATACTCAAGTGAAATTGTGATAATATATGAACAAAGCACATACTAGCGTAATAGCTATGTGGTCTCACTGGCGAAAGCCAGGGGCCCCAGGCCTTAAAGGGCCCAGAATATCTCGGCCTATCAGCACTTTTGGTCCCATATATTGGTCGAGTGGGACCTTGTGAAGCGAAGGAGCACTACCATGTTAAAAAACCCCATCAAAACACTCAAAAACCTTAAAATGTCAAAGGCATCTAAACGGGTTAGGCTTCGCCCCAGGGTAATACAGCTCCAGAGAAGCCTTAGGCATGGGCCAAGCCTTAGCCATGGGCCAAGCCTTAGCCATGGGCCAAGCCTTAGCCAGGGTCCACAGACCTGTTTGTTACGCCACTGAAAGCACACCATGCAGTAATACACTACAGAATAATGCCCTGTCCAGACTATCAAATATATATGGTCATGATGACACTACATCATCATGACTATATATGGGCAAACAACAGCTTTTTGAATTATCTGGACAGGGTTTTAGAAAACTTTGAAACCCATCACCGTGTATACCTAATGTGCTACGTGAAAAACTCATGCACTTTTTCCTACAAAAATATGTTTCTCCCCTGTAAAGGATCATGCTAAAAAAAAAAAACGCTGCCCCAAAAAATATGTTTCTCCCCTGTAGAGGATCATGCTAAAAAACAACAACGCTGCCCATGAAATGTGTGGTTAATGATCTCCATTCAGATAACAAGCATTTAGGCATGATTCTGGTTTTATTTTTACCTTCCGTATCATTAGTGCTTGGACAGATTCCCTCATTATTACAAGTAGTATAATTACATTCTAGTAATGGAAGAATTCAAAAAAGTCTGAATGATTCATCAGAAAATGTATAATAAAAACTCTGGAAAAAAATAATTAAAACATTGAAGTGGATATTTTTAAAAAATTACATTATATTTAAGGAGGGTGACCATTGCCAATAAGCTGATATTACAGCAATCTCTTACAGAAATAAATGCATCAATAAAATTTCCTAAATAATAAAAACTGAAAAAAAAGAAGAAATTAATACACTTATTAAAATCTGATTACATTATCTTAATTAAATAAAATATAGATTTAAACAACTACCAAAAGTCAGTGATACTATATATATAAGTAGTGATCAAATACTTAACTCTAATATTTATATAAAGGAAAAAAATATAAAAATAATTTTTTTGTTAAAATAGCAGCTTTAATTTAAAAAAAAAATTACATTTGCATAAATCAGGAAAATAATTAATATAAATGCTATGCAAATTGATTATCAGCACACCTTTTGAATTCACGAATATGCAAGCAAAACATTAAAGTAAAAATTTAGCATTATATTTGCTTTTAATGAGACAAAAATCAAATAGAAACTGTAGAAAAATATTACTGAAATAAAAATTAATATCTACCTATTTACAAATAGCAATAAATATATTTTTTTGATTTTCCGTAATTAACATTTTAATGAAAAACAATAAACCATTAACAATGAAACATTATTTCTTACCTTCAGCAAAAAAATTGATCAGTTTACTAAATATTTCGTTGTCTTTATCAACTTGAAACTCATATAAATCAAATTTAGGCTGAACTATAGCCATGCTGAAAATGAATAAACAATAAATACGGAATGTTAGTATAAGATAAAGCTATTTGAAAACCATGCTTTCTGTATTGGTTTGTTAGCCAAGTTGAGTCGAGTGCCTGAGTGGTAAGGCAGGGGGTGCTGCTAACTACAGTGTTAACATGGCCGCTGGTTCAAGATGCCCCTCACCCAGTGTTAGGTCAGTAGAACCATGGAATAAATATATTATTTACCAAGTCTAGAACCCAGTCTTCTCAGATAAGGACTTAAAATGGAGGTCCAGTGTACTGTACACTTTGAAGAACACTTTGCATCTTTTAGAAGTGTAGGGGTATACCACGATGATATAGTTCATTTCAGTTCCTGTCGTGGAATGATGTGAACTTGTAGCTACTACAGTATAAGCTTAATCTTTACGGTGTGGTAGTCACAAACCACATCCATATGCAATTCAGCACATGGACACTGCGAGTATGGGTTATTCTCCTACCTTTACCTTAAGGTAACAACAACGATGCTTATTTCAGAGGTTAATCCTAATACACACTGTTTTAACTAACCTGAAACTTGTTGCATTAATATTGGTGAACGAGTATGTCATGTTGATATAATGGACATACCGCTGAAAAAAAAAAATTGAAATAAAAATGTGAGATCACTATGTAATAAATTTGGAGCCAAATCACACATATAATATTGGTCCAGGGCCGCCTTAAGCGTTCCGTTCACAGTTAATACTGTATTTTAATTTGGCTCAGGTTCATACTGCAAATGTTCACACTTCCCTTTGCACCAGGCTGATGAATTGCAGGACAGGACGTTCTAGTCGCCCCACTACCCTTCCTGTTGTGAATCACTTAAGTGTATGCCTGTCTCATCGCCTTAATTCACCTCTTTACCTGTACGGCCATACGATCATAACCTTCCGCTGCCATTCACTACACCCCTATCCATTTGCTGTTGTAATCCTCTCCATCCACACAGTACGCTTGGCTTACCTTACCTTTGCCAACCGCCAGACATACAGCTAAAGGACACCTCAGCATCTTCCCACCTACTCCCTCTTGCAAAATTTTAAACATTTTTTCTCAATGGTTTTTCACCCCAGTCAGATTAGTTGAGTGAAATGTTATGGTATACGATGTCAAAATTGACCGCTATCAACGCGACTTCACCTCGATAGGTCCCGCATTGCAGGACCTGAGCTGTCTGGGCAGGCCTAAAATTTTTGATTGTTCACACTTAAGAAAAGCTGACCCTGAGCCGAACGATTAAGTGTAATTGGGCTCTTAATCATAAACAAAATTTGGTATCTATTATTTCTATAAGTTCCATACTACAGGTACAAGTGTTTGGCAATTGTAGATTTGGCCTAAAGGATCGCCTGAGTCCTTGACCAGGAAGTAGGTAGGCATGGCCAGGGGTTACCCAAAACCACTCAAAAATGGAGTCTAGTGGGGCCCAATGGCAGCACCCATGATTGCATCCTATACTTATTACATTCTTGAGCTTGATAGGCTCAAAACTGAAAAAGTTGACGACAGGCAAAAAAATTAAGTCTAAGAATCTGAGAAGTAAACAGAATAACTTTTTGATTTTTATAAGATGTACTGAAAATATTTATGGATTATTAACGTTAGTAAAATTTCTATATACTCACGCAAAGTAAAAGGCTTACAGACAACACAAGGCAAACCTTCCCAAACTATATGAGTGTGGGAAAAAAACTATGCAAAAATATTATTTCAGCTACTCACCTCTCCCTGTGACATTATCAAAGATGGGAATGTAACGTTGCTGGTTTTTTCATCTATCATCGCTCTTCTCAAATTTGCCAACTTTGAAAATAAACACAATAGTAATAAATAATCTTCAAATTACATTCATTCAATATCAATATACAATTTGAAATTGAGAAAGTTGTATTTTGTTTTAACAATCTTAATTTTTTGGGGGTTATAGAAAATGCATACAAAGCTTCAGTTGGAAGCGGTTGGCACATCGATTGTGGCTTGGACTCCTAACCTTGATGTCAGGGGTTTGGAAATCTCGCTGTGCAAGACGCTTGTGTCCTTGGGCAAGGCACTACCCAGGAGTATAAATGGGTACCCTGTGGTTTACTACTGGGGAGGAAAAAAGGCAGCATGGAAAGGAACTGGCCACCCTACCACACAATACCGAGGCTTAGTACAATGGGCTCACAGCTCATTCCCCTACGTTCAGTAATGAATATGGGACTACCTTTACCTTACCATACAAAGCTTAGAGAAGGGCCAATGAGGAACTTTTACAAGAGTGTCTAGACCACTTAACCCCCACAATGTTTGGGGCTGAGGCACAAAATGTTATGACTATGATCCGAAAACAGCACTCTCAGACCGAAATATGAATATACTTTTCTTTTTTATCTCCATTTTTTAGCTGAAGCACAAAATTGTATAACTATGACACCTCTAGATGACCAGAAACAGCACTTTCAGACGTAAATTTGAATATAGTTTTCTTTTCTTCTCTATTTTGCAAAAAAATTGAAGGGAGAGCCCAGGCCAGCTGGTCCCCTTGAATTTGCCTACAGTATGTGGACACAAAGGCTAAATAGGCATAAATTTACAAATACAAATATGCAATAAACATTTTTATTTAAAAAAAACATAAATAACATGCATTTATAATAACAACAAATATCAAATCTATTTGCCAATGTAAATTATTATGTTAATACTTCTGGACATTGAGACAAAACATGCTCAAGGACACAAACGAATTGTACAATGAGGGTTTCTAACCCCTGACCCCAAAGTTGAGAGTCCAACAACTGCTGCACCAACCAATTCTAGTACTGTACAGTACAGAAAAATATAGCAAGAAAATTTACAGGGATACTCACATCAACACTCCCCTTTGGAATGACCTCAACTTCCAAAAGGTCAACGTTCGGAGGATCCGACAAATATCCAAGCTAATTCCAGAAAATCAAAAACAATGAAATTAGTTCCCAAATAAGATAACAATTCATAATGTGTAATTGTAAACAAATTGTATACCGTACAAACTATATAATCATATTGCAAGAATATATTACATTCTACAAAATTTAGAAAATAAACTTGACAATTATTTTTTTAAAATCTTTCCTCTCATTTAATATTGTGTAAATGTTTGTGTCTTCCTACATATTATTTAATATGTCTATTGTTTTATTAAATTAATATTGCTTAGAAATTTGTTTGACAGGTTGATATCTGTTATAAAATTAGAATTTTAATAATTCTTGAAAATATAACTCTTGACTCTCTCACTTTCAATTTACATTAAGTATTATGTGCATATTCAAATGCTTTAATCAACAGTACAACTGGTATAAATAAGTCAATGTAATTAGGTCAATATCTTAATGTAATTTCATTAATCAACATTTCAAATAATATCAAAATTGTTCTTTTAATAAAAAAAACATGTTAACATTTAATATAACTTATTTGTTCAATTCAAAACATGAATTATTAAAATGTTATAAAATATCAATCGAAGTATAAATCAAGATCAAAACAATACAACTGATTGACATTAGTTTATATAAGAAAAATTATAATAAATAAACTTTGCATATTATATTAGTGACTACAATCATTGAACAATAGTTTACCATTTGCTGAAAGTATGACAATTCATTAAATAAAATGTTAATGTTTAGTCGAAAATGAAAATAATTGAGGTTTAAATAATAACACATAAATATTCAAACCGACTCTGTGCTGAAAACAAAATAAATATATATATATATATATATAATATATATATAATATACATGTTACCAAACCTACTCACTTTAGCTTTGATGATTTACCATATGGGTAAAAAATACCCAAATATGGTGGGAAAAAAAATATGGTGAAGTACATTCATCCTATAGAGACCAGACCACCTAAGCTACTGAAGATTAACATGCATATATCAGATAGTGAAGTGTCTTGATATTTTATCGGTAGGATACGTATTCAAATAAATAAATGCATTGGATTAGTAAGGTAAACCGAATTGCTCCTGGTTAATTGACTTATCAGCATGCTCTTCGCAAATCCATGCTTTTTCTTTCCATGCTTTCCAGGTCAGGTCAGGTCATAATGAATTTTCAGTTTCAATACCATCAAACGAGAAATACATCCCACTTGATTATATCCCAGCACTCTCTCTCTTTTACACCCATTTTGGCCTCATTTCCTTCCCCTAAGCAATAAAGTAGTTCAGAATAATGGAATTGATGGTCAGCAATTCTCTCATTATCACAGCATTTAATATGTCTCTGCACCATCACCAAAATTATCAGATAATATTTAAACAAATCCAATTGAGTTTTTGAAATCAATTAAGATTGATCCATCCATATCTTACTGATATCAAGCCATCTATTCACAATATATCATCTCTTTCTACCCACAATCCACTATCTACCCACAATCCATCATCTACCCACAATCCATCTCCTACCCACAATCCATCACCTACCCACAATTCATCACCTACCCATAATCCATCATCTACCCACAATCCATCATCTACCCATAATCCTTCAATGTATTTTTGTCAATGTATATTCTCATTTATACTTATCTTCTCCATCCAGAGGGTTTCAGGAGAGTGGAAAAAAACTTTAGAATTTATGGGCAATGATCAAAACTATGTAATTGCTACTGCGTAGGGTCAGGCAATGAGGGTAAAAATCTTACTATACTGCAACGACAAAATACAAAATACACAGTCTAGTGGTATGATTGATTGAATTTGCATGTGGAACTATGGTAGGTGCTAGTAGAGGTAGTAAGAGACAGAAGAGAGAGAAAGAGAGAGTTTTGGGAATGATCACTCGATTGTCTATTTGAGTATATGACAGATGGATGGTGTATACGTTATCTCACACCCAATATGATCACGGACACTATTCAACAGTTAAATACATTTCAAACCGTAAACATTCTACACAAAACAGTGCTACACACAAAGCCGTCACAAAGTCTACACCAGTGGCAACACAGGAAACAAGTTTCACAACAGAACAAAACATGAAACACAGTCCAGATACACCACACAACATAATGTATTATTAGGTGAGTGAATATTGGAGCCCCACAGTCCACCCACAGTCTACCCAATCTTTAAAATGTCAATCTCCTTTTTCGTTATTGGAAATTTAAACAAATTTAAATTGAAAACAATTAAATAATTTTTTATCAAAGAAAAATGTTAATTATTATACAATTGTTCTTTTTACTTATTTTGTTTTCTTCTATAAAATAATGTACAGCTGGGACATACATTACACAAATAAAAAACTCATTAAAAAAAACTTAGAAACAAAGACATTTGATTAGAAATAAATCTTAATAATAATAATAGATACCTTATCAAATACTGTTCACAAATAATTAAAAATAATAATTTTGAAAATACATACACTTTCTAAAAAAACTTTCATAAAATTTTGCATTTCATAAAAAAAATTGACAACTGAAGCGATTGCTCAGGCTTTCAGCAAGGTTACCCTAGAAGTTTTAAGACATTGAGGGCAGGCTTCAAATGAGGTTCTACCAAATGACTGAAGGTATAATGAGGCTCCCAGCATTGTACATAATAATTGTGATCAACATTCAAACGAGCACAATTTGCAAATCAATTTGTGATAGAAGCGGACATGCCGCATACAGTGGGTTTAACAAATCAAATTCGGCTGAAAATAAAGTTAATAGAAAGTAAAAGGGATTAATAAAAAGTGCATATGGTGCATTGTTGCAGAGGAGAAAAAAAATCATATTTAACTGCTGATGTTGTTTTTTTGCAAGTGTAAAAACAACCAGTGCAAGCATTCCCTGTTACTGCTTCTTTTTTTTTGCATCAAACTATATAAATATTTTTTTTTATATTATGAAACGATTTGCCATTCCACTGCTGACTGATTTTCCTTAATGATTTTGTTAGGAATGAATTCTAACACATGCTCTACAGTTCTAAACATATTCACATGAATTTTTTCAGACGAGGATAATTGTTCGAAAACCATGCTTTGGAAAAAATTTGGTGAATTTTGGATATCTAGAGTTGTTAAAGATGATTGCTTATTCGAAAATATATTTATTTACAGTGAGCATTTCCTTCCATGGTGCTTTCACATTCAAATTTAGTTGTTTATTAAAAACTGATTAAAAATGTGAGTTTCCATGCATGTTTAGTTTCCGTGCTGCCAGACTACGGTCGTTAAAAAGGCTTTCCGCGCTTTTACATGAAAATGACCAATGAAATGCTACCACATAAACTAAGTCTTGTTTCTTCCCAAAATGCACCAGTGTAATCAATTCCCCATATAAAGGTGTGTGCTTTATATTTCAAGCAAAAATTTATGATATTTTGACATGCATATTTATTTAAGGTTGATATTTAAACATCGTTGGGGTGATTATGTTTTCAATTTTGTTCAAGATCCAAGACAAAGTTTGTGTCTAGTAATACATTGATTAATTGAATTAGTTTCCATACATGCTATTAATACCTGGTATTTTCGTGGCAAGACAAGTTTTTTTTTTCCAGGCAATATGAGAATGGTACCAACTTATAACATAGTCATTCTCCCTCCCTATTCAAAGGCACTTGCATATCACTTCCAGTGGAATTCTTTGTTTGCTCAATTTAATTTCTATTTATGTATTTGTGAGTACTAATGATTGCTTAAATATTTGTCAATTGAGCAGAAAGTGTGTGAGATAAAATAACATTTTTCAAAAATAAATTGGCAAATTAATAGTCTGAAAAGCGTGTGTGCTCTGCCAAAAAGCCACATGTGTACACAGAACATTTACAAACAATTCCCAGTTATACCTATAAGACTGGTTTGACCCAGGTCAAAGGTGAATCACTGGTCAAATTTAGTCACAAGACTATCCTAACTTGGTATCATTCTCAAGAATCCTAATGCAGCTCCATTAAAAAGTTATGTTACAGCTAGAACTACTTTTTAATGGAACTACTTTTTCCAGTTTAAAGTTAGCAGCTTTCACAAATGGATTTCTGTTGTTTGTTTTTATTTCCGTGCAAAATATAGTCTATGCAGAGCTTTCGTTAATGGATGGATGCGTTTCTTAATTAGCATAACAGTGATACAGTAGTTTTTCGGCATACATTTTTGTGAAGCATTCAAATGATTATGTACCTTAAGTATAGGCTCAATTTCTTCCTGGTATGCCATGATAAGTTGAATGATATCGTCAAAAAATGATGGATTAAAATGAATATTTAACAACCATTTGGGAAAAACAGTTTGGGTTTGAAATGTCAATGAAGAAAAAAGAAACAACCATTCTATTCTCTGATATTGTTTTCATATCACGGGGTGGAGAAAAAACTGAATTTTAAAAATATATTTTCTTTAAACTTCAGAGATGATTCAGAAGTCACATGACCACTTTCATGTGTGATTTAACCTTCAAAAATTTCTCTTCAAGAGTCAACGAACATTTGATCAGAATCTATATTCAGGCTGTCCGACAGCCAGTAAACAACGATTCTTCTTTGGAGTGAGGCAAAATTTGTGAGAAGCAAAAATAAACAGTGTCTGTGGGTTGGACCACAATGCGTGAAACAAATTGTCAAATCTGAGACCAAGCTAAAAGTGCATTTGACAAATTTAAGCACGATCGACAAGACACTCGGGACAGAAAATTAAAGAAAATAACAACACTACATTTGAATCACACAATTTGTACTATTAAAATGCAATTAATTTGGCGACCGTCTTGTGATTGGGTAGAAATTACTCAATGAGTAAATGTAAACAAACAGGAAGCCAGCTGACCAAATTTGTAACAGAGGTCAGGGGTCACATAAACATGAAAAGGGTTTTACAATCAAAACACATAGTGGAAACAAATAGTAACTATTCTTGTTTATATGGGTGAGTATGCTACCATATTGTTTTAAGTGACAAAAAGATAAATAACCACTGTGTTATGATTTTTTTCAATTTTTTTCCAAAATGTCCATCATTAGTTTTCTAATAATAATAGGTATTCCAGCTTCACTATAATTTGACAAGGACAATTGAACTATTTTTTTTACTTGAAATATTTTTGCAAATGCCATTTGAGATAGGAATTGACTAACATTTTGAAAGGTCAGAGCATATTGCAGTGTTTCAAAACGTTTTCTACATAAAAATGTAATAACATGTTAATCCGAATTTAATGGATATGTTTACAGGTCAAAAAAAAAATTGAACCCCAAATTTCAGTTGAAATACTGTATACTTAAAAATCAAACTATCTTGACATTTTAGAATGATCAAAGTTCAAAGGTAAAATGACTATCTGCACAAGGTCAAAGGTGATCAGAATCGAATGCATTGTTTCTCCTTTCATTAACAAAATTCCAAAGAGAATGCTATGTCGCCCTGTGTGAGTTGGTTGCAACACTCATAAAAAATTTGGATGCATGAAAGAAAAGAAGATAATTACAACAGATTAATTAATGCAACCCTAATTAGTCAATTAATCATGCTGATGCCCAGTATAACTCATTAGCATATACTGTAATACTACTTTGGCTGTGGAATTAGAGAAGTTAAAATGATTCCCATACCCAGACATTAATTAGTGAAGTTAAATAAGGTTGAATCCTGGTTATAAAATGGAAATATTGAAATTAAAGAAACAAAAATATTGCAATCATGGGTAAAAACCCTTCAGCGAATTTGAATGCCGGGGGAGGTAAATTTAACACAAAATATAATGACGCGATTGTCTTGAAGAACAGAAAAAGGACATTAATAAACAAGAAACCATCACAAAGCAATTAATAAGCCAGTCCAATATTTTTAACGTGCTAAGGGGTATGATAAATTTGCAGCAACTTGGCAGTCTCAGACATATAAGGAGTCAGTACATCCTGGTCTTTTCTAGGGAGTCTATTGGAGCAATGAGTCCAGTTCTCACAAGTAAAGTACTGGTTTTATAATAATAATAAACATTTATCAATTTCTCACATAGGCCATTGAATAAATTCATCTGGATCCTGTGTTTAGAATCAAAATACAAAAAAAAGTAAAATTTAATTTTTTATTTTGCTTCAATCATACTTACATTATTATTTTTTAAATTAATTAAAATATCTGCAGAAAAATTTTTTTATTTGCTTAAAAAACCAAAGATCATATATTGAAACATAAAACCAGATGAAACTATTCAAGCATTGTGAAAATAACTCATGAAAAATATTTTCTTTTCTTTTAAAAAATTTTTACTTATATTTACCTGTGAGAACTGACGTCGAACTACATTAAAATTCTGTTTTCATATGTAAAGAATTTTACAACATCAACTGTACTTATTACAATTAGCAACTTTAATTTTAAGAAGTATTTTCTTGCCGAGAAAACTAACCTGTCCTTTGAGACGTGGATGAATGAGAATGTAACCGTTACTGTTGATACCGAATGCGTAACCCTCCGGACCAATCTGATGGCGAATAAAAGTTGACCAGAATCTTTTTAGTACCGTATAAATGAAATTTAGATGCACCTACCTTAGAAAGTATTGCTTAATAGATTAATCAAAAACAGAAAGAAAAATGTAAAAAAAAAATGGTTTCCGATATCACCTGTATATATAATAACTCTGAAAAAATGCTAAATTATGTTAAATTTATGAGGTTGTATTAAAGGAATGTTCAATTTGTTGGTGTGATAGTTTAGACATGAGAATTAAAGAAACTGAGAAAAACAAAAGAAGGAAAAATACCATGAGAGTCACAAATGAAATATTTACACGAGATGAATTTGTACTTACCTTTCCTCATCTGCAATACTTACGTAAACCTATACACTATAAATAAAACATGCATACCATTCTTTTGGCCGCTCACACAGCGTAAATGGTCTTCAGCCAACGCAATCCCATGGGGAAAGCAAAATGAAGATTCATGCGTAGTAAATCGTTTTTTGTTTTTTTTTGACAAACAGTGGACAGCATCACATTGCCAAGCATTTACAGAGGGCAAAAGACAGATTCGTTAGCAGACGTACGCATGACCGTAAAATGCTGTGTGGGCTCGGATACAGACATGCAGGTTTATTATACTACTTAATAATGTGATAAGAAGACAGACTCAAAATTGTGGGTAAACCATGACACTGATTGATAGCATAATATTACCAATAAAAATGATAAAATTTACTTACAAAATCTTCTGTTTCCATAAACTATTTTTTTAATCATCAAGTAATAAAGAAACTAAGTATTGAAGTTACCATACCATATTTAAAATGATCATTTTTTAAAACTATTTTATTTGTTATTCATCATATAAAAATGTGTATGGGATTTGTTTACCACGGTGGCAATAAGTAAAATAAAACAGACAATATTTAAAAACAAGAATACAAATATTTAACAGACTGAATGGGGAAACAATTATATTTTAAATAATAACAATTAGATTATTACTACTACTACTTTGACAATATTAAACATATTAAACCAGGAGTATAAAAAACCTATATATTAAGGCATTTAAAATTTAAAACATTATTTCTAGAATAAGAATTTAAAAGACGTAAATAATACACTTAAATAATGAAATAAAGAAATTGAATTAGTTTCCTAAAAATTACAAAATCATTTCTGAACAATGTGTTAATATTCTCTATCACAGACATTATATTTTATTACTACATTAAATAAAATATCTTTATGGCCTTATTGTATGTCTTCTACATTAATGGCAATTAGGCCGAAAAGATTGTTGTGGGGCCCCAAGTCTGACTAATTTCAAATCTTTATATTTTGAGACTGGCAATTTTTTGCCAAAATATTTTTTTCTCAAATAAAAGGTCAAAGGTGGAGCCCAAAATACTTGCAAGCATTTTCAAGCTTTAATTAATTTATTAGATACCTTAATCATAGTGGTTATTATTATACCAGTTGAAATGCATTGGGTGAATGATGATTAGTCATAAGCCCTACACTCAGGCCTCAACCTACCAGTGGTTTTTAAAAAGTTGTACAGCAACGGGAGGCTTAACTGTAACACAAAGTGAGTGCTGAGCGCACGCGGAACATTTACAAAAACTGTATTAAATGGCAAACAACATTTTTAAAACAGTATATAAACAAAGCCAACAAGAAATACACCACAAGGAAAACACCACAAGGAAACATAATCAACAGGAAAACAAACAACATAGAAATAACTATACTCATTAATATTTAACATTAACCATATTATCATCACTGATATTTATTAACTATTTATTTATTTGTTTACTCTTAAAATGTTTATTTTGGATTTGATAAATCATAAAAATACATACCTCTAATGACATTATCAATGGTACTATAGCATTACCACAATTTTATCACATATATTTGCAACAATTTACACTTAATAATATCAAAACAATGTGTTATTGCAGGCATATTTTTCTCAAGTCATGTTTGAAAGTCATAATTTCTGTATTATTATTATTATTATTATTATTATTATTATTATTATTATTATTATTATTATTATCTAGTTTATATAAATAATTTAATCTGGGCTATAATCACGAAACTGGATATCAAATTATTCTAAAAATTACAATAAATTCTTGAATGTAAAGACCAAAATTAAATATAAATTTTAGAATTAATGTACCATACATTTCTATAATGAAAATTAATATTTTCAGGTTTTTTATGCAAATAATAATGCTTGAATTATGAAAAAAAAATCTATCTGAGAGCTACACGTAACACTAAACACAACACTGATTAATCTACACATTAGGGAGACGACGCACACATTTTACAATCTACTGCGCTACACATATTCAACTCACAAATCTCAAAATTAACAGTGGCACTAATTAGAACAAACACTTAGACACAACAACAGTATTATAAAAAAAAAGATCATTTAACTATAGAGGGCGTCCTTTGTGTGTTATGCCCTCCGACTCAAGCACACTTACGCAACGGTAACTGCTATTATAATGGGGCTGTAAAAAAGAAGGAGACAATAAAAAGATTCTTTAGTTTACTTTCTTTCACGCTGTTGTCATGGCAATAAGGAAATGGATTAATACAGTTCCAACCACCATGTATGTTGCTAAAGTTTTGCGTTATTACAATTTTTTGACTTTTCCTTAATTTATATATATTAATGAAAAGATTAACAAGAATTATACTACAATAATAAATATTGTTAAATTAGATAAGCATAACAAAATCATTATTCAAATAGCCTATGATCATCATAAACATGAAAAAATATATAAATATAAAAAAGTACTGCCATAATAAAAATTGATAAATAACAATAATAATGCATAGTCCACTTAGACTTCCGCAGGCAATCAGAATAACAATAAATATCCACTAATAATAAATATCCACAGAACTATAATAAAAAGGATAAACTAGATATAATAATAAAAGAAATAAACTAAATATAATAATCAAAATATTAATATATATATATACAAATAAAATTATAGTAATAAAAATAATTTTTTAAGCTAATATTAAATAATACATCTTTTTATCTTAATAAATTATTTTATATCAAATACTACATTACACCTTTTACAGGACCAACAGATAGTGCTTACATTAAAAATACATTGAAAAAAAATGATTATTTAACAGCCTAATTCAGAGTAATATAATATAAAAGACGAGAACAAATTTGAAAAAGGAATGATAAAAGTGATAGGAATTCAATAATAATATAATGCCAATAATATGATATGAAGGGAATTTTCTAAACTACAGTACATTTACAACATTTAGGTCTATTTCTTTTCTTTAGCTGTTGCTATCTGGGAGGGCCATTCGTGCTGGTAGACAAACCAAAGACCAAAACGAAAATGAGTTACATTTGTTAGTACTAATGTTTTCTAAGAATTCTATGTGCTTTAAATTCTACTATCTTTCTATACTTGAACTCTTAGTAATTTCACATTAACAAGTTCTTGTATTCTTGAAAGCTACGATGAGGGCAGTATAAAAGAGGCAGTAGGGCTAAAAAAAGATCTATTAATCAATCAGCCTCATGAGGGCAGTATGATAGAGGCAGTAGATCTAAAAAAGATCTATTAATCAATCAACTATTAATCAATCAGCCTCATGAGGGCAGTATGATAGATGCAGTAGAGCTAATTAATCAGCTGAGTGTTTCTAGAGTTCCTTATCAGAGATAAAAATGCTGTATATGTATCTACTAGTTCATTACTACTACTACTACTACTACTACTACTACTACTACTAATAATAATAATAATAATAACAACAACAATAATAACTTCTAATAATAATAACTTCTAATGTTGGGGAATTTCAGTTATCTGCGATAATTTGCCAGAAGCTGATCATCACAAATTTGCCATATGAGCAAATATAATGAAGAAAACTAATGAATGAATAATAATATTATGCTAAACTTATACAGCACTTCATGCGAACAAGGCCTCTAAGTGCTTCACATTATTACCCCCAGTCACTGGATCAAGTACATATGAAACACATACTCAGTTCCCTGGGGAGAATTCTATAATGTTGCAGCTATAATCAGTGCATTTTGTGTTTGAATCTACCAACTTGTACTCCTGGGTGGAGAGAGACAACAGCGGATAAAGTGCCTTTACAAGCAAGATGCACAGCGAAGGATTGAACCTCTGACCTCAAGGTTGAGAAGTAAAACGACGATAACTGCACCAAACCGTTCTAGTAAGGCAAAACTTTATTGTACCTTGTTTAGCGAATGATCTTCAGAAGGGCAGAATGAAAATGAAGCAGAATTTTCATTTTAATAACCATTTGTGGAGGGGGGTACGTTCACCAAACAATTTACCGTTGAAAAATCTTGCCTAACTTCTCCAATGCAACAACTGAATTATCTGCTATTTAAGAACATGTTTGCACATATATGGCACCACAACAGGTTTTAGAGAGACAAGATTACATGGAGAAAAGAGCGTGATGAAGATCGCACAACAGACTGTTTTTAAATACCCATTCCCTCAGTGTGCCATGCAATCAGCATAGGGCATTGTTTCGTCAAGAGCGTATCGATGGATTCATTGTATGATACAATGTATGTCTGGCTTAATATGAAATAATCCTATTTATATTTTTGGCATTATATCACAATGGCCACCGTGGTGGTGCAATAAAATATAATGTTTACATTAATTCTTTTTTTAAGAGATAACAGATAGTCCTGTCACTTTTAACCAAGAGGAACTTTGCATCTATTACATTTTAATGAAATTTAGAGTGGTTTTGAACTGCAAAAATATACACCGAACTATGAATAGCACAATCGTCTTGGTAAACAAGAAATTATTATGCTATATTGCATGAAAGCAAAATGTTATTGCATAGCAGAAGCTAATAAGAAAATGAGCTGAAACTTTTCAAAAAATTGCTGGCTTCCGATCCAAAATAGAACACAAGCATTTCACATGAGAAAAACCCACTCCCTAAGCCTCATAACTAGGCATAGTTTATGGAACATCACTTCCAACTCGTAATTGTTGAATGCAGTTAGATGAAAAAATAAACTTTAAAAAAACACCTAGTTTCTAATTATGTAATAGAAAATACTCAAGCAATTGAATACAATACTATTTAGATTTTCAACAAATAATGAAAAATAAAATTTTTAATAAAATACAGTAAGTACTTATGTATATTATCATTGATAGCAATTAAATAAAGTTTATGAAAAAAAAATCTAGTAGCATACCAACTATATAGGGCAGGCTTTCGTTGTTATTTGCAATGCATACCAGATATATATGGACACATTTTACTTGTTAATTGTAATACACAGCAATTATCTAGAGCAGGCGTCAATTGCAATTAAAGATCTTATTACCAAAGATAGCATCTTTGATCATAATTGATCATAATGTGCAAAACATGGAAGGGATTTGTCCCTGTGCACTCTATACAAAATTAAAAGTAAAACTATGGTCAATCATAATCATTGAAATGCACTGCATGGTGCAGATATTCCATGTAAAAGTTTTGCTATCTTCAGATATAAAATTCTTTGATTGAAATACATACTAACTATCGAGGACAGGCTTTACTTGTAATTGTGATACAATAATATATAGTATTATAATTATAAATCAACTACTGTATACATAGCAGGCCTTACTTAATTACAAGGCCATATTAAGTCAATATAAGTCAGGTAAGGAATAATATTTAAACTTCTTTAAGTTTACAGTAATACATTTTAGATATCTCAAAGTATTAATTCACATAATCATGCACAAGACAAACTAATAAACTAAAACATGTTTTAAAATTGCGTTCATTTTAGATAATTACAACCGAATAAATTGTGAATCATTCCTCAAAATAAAAGACAAAATTGTTAGGTGACAAATACTTGAAATATAAGCAAAATATATGAATGAAAATATTTGAAAGCATGCAGATACTTTACCTAAAATTATGCTTGGAATAGTTTGTGTCTCCGGAGTAATGACGCATGCAGATGGGTTGGGTTACATTCAGTGTTAATGAAATATGAAAATGCAATGTTTGATTGATAAAAAAAAATTTAGAACAGAACAGTGGTGGTGCCAGCAGGGGAAGGGGAGGGGGGTGTGGGGATTTCCCCATTAGACAGGCTTGTACCCATTGTCGGACCAAAAAATAATAACTTGCCTATCCAAATAATGTTATTTTGATTGCCAATCTCTAATATTAGGGTCTAAAAGCAGACTTTGGTCCATACTAGGCCATAAAACTGTGAACACTAACCAAGGCTCTAGTCCCTGGGTTAATTAAAAGGCCCTTTGGTTAAGACTCCCTGTTGGACATGTCGAACCCCCTGTTGGCAAATGCCTAGAGCCACCACTGGAACAGAATAGATTCATGGCATAACTCTTCTTGAATATTATTTCCTTATTTTTGATATATAGTCATAAAATGAAAACTAAGAGTCATTTAACTGTTAGGTTCCTTGAAAAAGATAATCATAATATCCAATTTGAATCATATAGATTGGTGGCAGTGTTTGATTACAACAAATGATAGAGGGCACTATAGGGTTTTTGTAAAATCTAGCATTGTATTTATTTACAGATTCAGTTGTCATACAAATGAGTTTCTACATAGTAAGTGCTTCACTTCTGTTAAGGTAACACTTAGAGTATATTTTTTTTTGTTAAATTCCAAAATATTTATATGAAAAAATTAAAATTGATCAAACAACTTAATAAAGACTTCAATTATATATTCTTTTCGAAAGTGTAACAAAAAAAATATTTTTTTTTCAATTAAACACATTTCTTTCTCTGTATATCAAAGAAATGATGTATATAATTTTCCAAGGAGAGCTATGTAGAATTAAAAAGAAAATGAAAATTGAGCAAGAAATGAAGTTTAAATTGGAATGGAGCTTTTTTACTCAAATTATACAAGCGAGTATTACTGTATTTATTACAGTAAGGATAATGATATAGGTACAAATAAACACAGGGAAAAATGTAAAAGATGAAAAAAAAAATGGTAAAAGAGTGGAAATTTCAAGTAATAAGTGATTAGTAAAATTATAATATGGTTTTGTGTATTACTAAATTTAAAATATAAAAATGTGTAGCAAAGAATATGTTGTAAAAATGTACATGTTGTGTTAATGTAAACATATTGTGTTGATGTGTACATGTTTATAGGCTGGATATGTAGTGTTACTTCCATTCCAGCTTCTTTGTCCAAAATATATTTGATAGTACAGGTTTACATAATATTTTATCAATACTAATATTATAAAAATAGTATATTCTAAACACATGTAATGTCATCAAATTTGATGTGTTTATACATTATAATTTCGAATTCATACAGATATTACATTTTTTTTTTCATCAACCAAAATCAAAATGAAGATGTTATAGTGGACATTTTGAAAAATGTCAAGTTTCATTCTCAAGGTGTTTTGTTATTTTCATCCGGACAATTGAAACGTGACATGAATCGAAACATTCAGTAAGCATGTCTTCAATCACTTTGGTTGGTCAAAAAAAAAAATCAAAATCATTTAAGACAACTAGATGAAACATTTTCAACATATAAAAACAAATATGTGTTAGACTGCAAAACCTTAGATTTGGGCTACTTAGTGCTGATTGGTCAGTTATTATTACTGAATGATAAGAATACTAGCGTGTTGACCAATTGTAAGTGTGCCACTATGCCAAACAACAGTGTACCATGCCGACTGTGGTTTGTACATGCATACTTACAATTAGAATGTTATTCCCAAGAATTTGCAATATAAACAATTCTCCAACAATTTTTTTTAATTTGGATGCAAGACTGTTAAATGCACAATAAGATAATTTGTAGTTAGAACTGCACATGCGCGTATCTAAGGTCAATTAGGGTCAATCAACATAAACCTATGTTGTGTGTATGGTGTTTATGTCAACTGACCTTGATAGGAGCATGCGCAGTTCTAATTTATCTAGCTCATTTAGTATTTACGGTTAAACTGTTGGGGAGCAGACATTTCCGAAAAACTTTCTATGTTTGGCTTTGAATGTAGGCATGCACTTGAGTTAGGACTCTACGAGTATTCATATTATCATCCTTGTACAGCACTTTGAGATAGTGTGGATGAAGAAGATAGCAATACAATGTAGATACAACACCACTATCTCTTATTAATATGCATGCGTTAAGTTAGTTCCTTGTGTTTCACCGGTATCATAAGATTTGATAGTATATCCCCATACACTAAACAAACCTTTATTTATGTTATCAGATACAGGGTTCCCTATAGATTAAATACAAGATACAATTAAAGACCACCTCAAATTTAAGACCAACTTTCCCAAACAAATGTCTTTCATCTTATTTTAAATTAGAGACGAAAGCTGCTTACTTAAGACTGTAGGAACTCCAGTCCCAAAAGTGGTCCTTAATTGGAAGGAGACCTATATATTATTATGTAATGATATTTAAAAGTTTTAAGGGGATTTATGCAATTAATTTTTGTAATTTGATGACACATGGAATATTTTAAAGGTGGATTAAAATGTACAGTACCAAAGCCTAATATGTAATAACTTTTTAAAAATGGTAAAGAAAATGGACTGTTTCATAGCCATGGGATGAACATGCAACAGACTTGCATATTTGATTGGTGGCACTATACTGTGTTATATAGGAATACTGGAGTGTACTATGCAGGTGCCAAACAAAATTTGTGTATTATTGCCTGGAATACGCTTGTGCTTCACGCTATAATGTAGCAGTGACAGGATTGGCTGCCCATCACGTCAGCTGTTGATACAGTATGTCTGTGCACGGTGCATTTGTGAAGGCCATCTTGGAGATGATTACGAATGGTTTCTAACTCATAGTACCAACTTTATGGTTTCTACTGATACCTTGCCATAATGTTAAATTATTGATGCAATTTGTTTATCTTTTCTCATAATAATAACAATCCATTTTCTTATTTAATAATAACATTACTGTACGATGAATAATATAATTCTATATGACAATAATGGTTATGATTACCCAAAAAAAATACATAAATGAACAGAATGACTGATTAAAATGGCACATCCACATATTTACATAAGATATTTCTGTGCATTCAGCAAAATTTGCCTATTAAAATTTAAACATCCTGAATGCTTTTTCTTGATTGGTTGTGTAATAGGATGTGGATTACCATTTTAACGCTTTAATGAATATTCAGTTTTAGATACTACATTCATATATAATTATGATTACTTGCTAAACAATATCAATAATTAATAAACAATCAATCATTCAATCAATCAAATGAAATCAATCAACTTATTTATATCTGAGCCAACTCCATATTTGGTGTAGATACAATAGATTTTTGGGCGTTAACATAGTCTTTTATGTACCAGTGTATGCTTAGCAGAAAATCCATTCATTTATAATGATTTTATTAATTTATATCAATGAATCCATGACTATGGGCAACTGCAAAACTCCATGGATGTTATATTAAAGATATATAGGAAATTAAATTGTTGAACAAACACCAATAATGAATATGAAGGATCAACTGACACAAATAACTGGTATTAATTAATCAAAAGATTTTAATTGTATTGATTAACTGATATTATTATTGATATTATTATTATAAAATATTGAAATTATTGATCAACCATATATTAATATTTATTTAATCACCAGAATTAAATGACAAAATTTAAATGAACATCAAACAACATGGAATATAATAATGAATGTGAATGACTTGAATATATAATTTGTATTGGTTATTCCATTTATTGAGACGTGAACTTACTCTTCGTTTAGGGACCAAATCCTCCATTCCCTTAATAGTGACATCTGTGCCGACGACGCCTAGGAGTTGTTGATTCTATCAGAATGACAAAATATTATATATATACTTGATGATAAAGACATTAATAACATTGAATCAAAAAGTTGAATCAGTCATGCAGTTTGGCAAGGTGGTTTCCACTCTGGTTATTGGACTTTCAGTAAGGAGATCAAATCACTCGCTGATCGTTCTTGGTTGGCCATGATTACTATCATAAGCTTGCGCGTTAATAGGCTGTGAATGGCTCACGTACAAGCATTTCACAACATACAAATATAAATATAATTATTAGAAACTCCTTACCTAGACTTGGCTTCAGGGGCTAGGGTTGTTTGCAAAATGGTAGGTCAGAGGTGGATTGAAACTCATAGTTACCGATCCGGTTACTAAACAAGGGAAGCTGGGGCTGAAAGGAGCGCTTCCATTTTTATGACACTATGTGCTATTTTGAGACTATTCAATACCAATTCTAAGATGGATATATGGATGTAGCTAAAATTTTAGGTTTTGTTCAGTGTTAATTATCTCAGTTATGTTTTCCCCCTTCTTTAAAAACAGGATCACTCTACATGGAGAAATGCCATCAAGCCGAGACATAGTATGGATGTGTCCAACCCTTGTTGACAGGGAACCATGGAAATCAAACTGAGCAGTAAAGTACGTAACAACGGCGCCATACCCCGAGGGGCATTAGTCTGACCGTTTGAAAGGGCACTTACCGGAATCTCATTCCCATTCGCGTCGTATGTTTTTGATTTATTGAATGCTGGTAGGGTCAGCGTTGTCATCATGCCAAGTCCCTGTTATTAATAACAATAATAATTATAATTTATTCAGCAAATTAAAAGTACCATTTTACCAAGAGCAAGAAATAGGCATGAACTCAAACAGTAAACTGTTCACTCCATCACTAAAAACAGAAGATATGAAGAAACAAGAAACATTAAAAAGTATACCTGTTTAAGAAAATGATAATAAAGAATTAAATCAGAAATATTAATTATCATTATTATTGTTTATAAGGAAAACAACAAACACAATACACAAAGCAACTTAATTTGTATTACTATTAATTGGTAATTATGACCACTTTATTGAGTTATACATGTCTTACCAATGCATCTAGGTAGATGTTGGACCACTGGTACGTGCGATTACCTGCCAGCACTAGGGGGCGACTCAACACGGGAATGTAGTCCTAAGGAGGAAACATAATTTGAATCGGTTAGCATCACTGATACAACAAAGATGAACAGTAAATTGTCAGAA